AGGACTGTTGAGGGAAGAGACAAGAGGTGCTTCTTTTCCCAAGAGGTCTTCTCTTTCTTGTAATTACTCCCTGTCCCTGCCATCCATTCACCCCTCATCCATCCATCTCCCATTCCTCTAACTTTCTTCACTGCTCCATGCCTGCACCTGACAAGTGTAAATCTTATGGGGGTTGGGATGCTAGACTCTTCGTCTGCTGTTGTGGATTGAGAGCCATTTTTGTGTTGGCGGTCTGGTTTATCTATTAATGAGTGATATAAATTAAACTGCCATTACTGAAGACTGGCATCTGTAAATCAAATCATTTTTCGGCAAAATCTTGGCCTCCTGTGAAGTGCATTTTGTTTTATTGACACTCTCTGTTCTTGTTTGGCCTCTACATGAAATAGACGTAACATTACTTGTTCTGGTAACGTATGAACATGGACGTATATATGTGCCAATTGAATGTTTCAAATGAGCCACAAGTACGATTTCTGGAAGAATCAGTATTAACTTCAAAAAGACCTCACTGCACTTCTGTGGAGTTCTGCCCAAATCCGTGTACATACTTCTATTGTAAATACCATTATAATTATGAAAATACTGGTCTAGTTACTGTTTCTTCCTGCTAGACAAAAGCAACTAACACAGAATTCATGTCTTGGAAAAGCAAGCTCGGAAAGCATGACTCCAAGGTTTCGTGTGTGTTCATTCTTCATCTAGAAGGTTCTTTACTATGAGTGACTAATGCCTGATTGAAAAAGATCAAAACATTTTCTGTTTTTGTCTGTCCCACTCCAGCTAGAAATTAATAGCTGACACTGTTTTGTAGAAAAATTCATGCCCGACACTCAACCTCAGGTGGTTCATTGTTTCATTTGCACCATCGAGACCAGCCATATATAGCGCCTTACATGCACAACGTAGACACAAGGTTGCCAAGTTGTTACTATAAAAGACAACTGTTGAAATCCCCAGGCTTATGCTGTAAGCGTAGGTTGCCTTGGAGACAGGACATACTTGCTCTTCATTTTGGAATGCCCAAGCCTCATTGACAAGCATTCTACTCACAAGCGTCAGCAAATCCAAGTATCACTCAGACAGCGCGACATTCATGTTTCTCTTGACTCCATTCTATACCTAACCATCCCACCTTGTCCTGGCTTTCAAAACTCCCCTTTCATCCTCCTTAATCCACCAATCTGTTCCTCTGGTCCTCACCTGACAAATAGTAAATCTTTCCCTGGGATATTTGGAGTATTGCCGACAGTTAGGATCAACTAAGTAAGGATCTGTGTGCTGTACATTTGTTCATCATCATCTTCTGTGTCATACATCTTTCTTTCAGAGAGAGGGAGAGAGACAGAGTCCCAATTGCTGAGATCCCTTTGGCTTCATATGACCCGGAATTTGTCAGAATTCTTACCGGACAGGACAAGTAATAATTCATTCATACGACCCTAAAAAAAGGCTTCTGTGTTCCTCTTACTTGTTCCCGAAACCTCCAAGGATAAGCTTTTAAGGAAGGTGAATGCATTCATCTTGATTTCAAATGTTCTTCCGTGATTGTAACCGAATTGAGGGGAACTTTTCAAGCTGTCCTCAATAAAGAATGCCTCAGTGAGGATGTCTCCAGAATACTGCCCGAAAGATGGAGCCAGTACAAAACAGTGATTTATGACATAAATATAAAAATCTGATCTGATGATCATCTTTGCAAAATTTTTAAAATTATTGACTTTTTAGCATCCTAGGGTCTCAGCAGTAAGAAACAGATTCTATCAGCCCGGTTTAGACATTTTTTTGTTCACTGCCTGAATCAATAATAGTCTATCCCAATTTCTTCTACTGTGGGATTTTCATAGATTCTATAGGATACTGAGTGCAATGGTTGTGTGGACTGACAGGATTAACTTCACCACTTGTGGGTTTAGATGTTATAACAAACAATACAGGTATGAGAAGACCTTTGTAAAAATGACTGAGAAATCTGACATTGACACCTTTTTGGAATATTCTCCAAGGCTTGCTGACAGGTCACAAAAACATCACCTCAAATGGAAAATTGTACTTCTCTGTAAATTCAGTGACATATCTAGAACAGGTTGACAAGCTTCAACAATTCCGCAGGATGACTCAGAAAAACCCAAGAAGCAAAATAAATGGTTGTCTGAGGCCTCTCATTAATCACTGGCCACACAAACACACACATATGTATGAATGAATCGGCACTAAATTTCCAGCAATTAAAGTCTGACCACGGTCTGCTTAGCACGTATGGGTTATATTGCTTGTGTCATTCACTATCATTTTATTACTAGATAAATGGGAATGATTGCATTGATCACTAACTGGGGAATGAGGAGTGGAGTAAATTGGTGTGAAATGGACTTCATGTGTTGCCACAAATGGGCAAGGATGGAGGTGGAGGTAAATGCCAACACTTTAACCCGAGAAATGTGCATGAACACATCAAATTTTAATATGGAATGACATGTGTAAAGTACAAACACATGTCAGTCATGTAGATGCACCTGTAAAGCAAGTTTGTGTTTATGTGAATTGGAATTTGAAGTTTTCAGAGCATGACATTTTTCTGGTTTCCATAACAGCAGGGTAGGCAAAGCAACCTCTTTATTTTCCAATCAATGTAACTTTAACATGCTGCAGATAACCCATCTGTCTTTTTCAAGTGTATACCTTTAGTCACTGAAATTTCTCCCCTTGCAATTTTTTTCTTTCTAATTTTACCTACATTGGGCACTTCTTGAGTTCCAATGAACTGATTCTGAACTGGCCTTTAATTCACTCCTCCTTCTCTCCCAACACTGGAGGGAAACTGGGGCATCTACCCCGACAGCATGTTTCGGCACGTGTAAAATTGATGGTAGACCACATATTTGCAGAAACGCGTTCTCCCTCAAGATGTCAAATTCCGCATGGATGGCCTGATGCCCGATATTTTACGGCAGACCATAAATAGGCCAGAATGCGTGTGGTAACTGTAGATACTGCTCCTGTCAGCCAGTCCCTAAGGCTCTGATTTTTTTTCTGGTGAATTTGGGTTTTTGAAAATTTTTACCAAGTTTATTTATTGTGGAACTGTTTGCCCCATTTGCTGTGGACGTGCTTGGAAAGTAAAAAGTCTGTTATTTGTGAAGAATGTTTTGATACATACAGCTACATAATAGCCTGATAAAATCAGTATAATGTAAAGGGCTTCTTTATAAGTATAAAACTGAAACTCTTGAGCATTTGTGAGAAAGAAATATCATGGTCTAAGAAATTATGCAATTCATTCAATTAATTACAACATTTAATCAAATTTGAAATTACTAATTTGTGACCAGATCCCACAAAAAAAGGGTATTGAGGTTATCATCTTTTTAAGTAATTGTTTCAGATTACATTATAAAGAGCTGTCTGAGTTCTTTTTTCTGTATCACCTAGTCTAGCATCCCGATGAAAAGGGGTAGGATACGGATGGAAAATGATGACAGTTTCTATTAATTTTGATCACAGTTATTAAAAACACTTTTTGGCACATGACAAGTTGGTATAGATAACATCGAACATGCTTGAATAAAAAAAATGGAAGTGACATAAGTTCTTCTGCAGGTCTCTTTCAAAATTAGTATTTTCAGCTTTAATTTCCAGACAGATACAAACACTTAAAACATGGGAGTGTGGAGACGACGTCAGAACAACCTTATATGGAAGCTTCTTACACTCAGAAGAGATGGTAGACAACTGTAGTGTAATCAACATGCATGAGATGAGAGCTTCACTTGGCAAGTGTACGGTGGAAAAGGATATGGCCACGTTTTCTTAGACTTTACACTCTAGCAACAGGAAATTGAGTCGACACTGATTAGTGAGAGAATATAATCAAACTTGACTATCAGAAAAACAAGGTAATGTCTAATCACCCCCTGAAGACCAGAGACCTGCAATCATGGCCTTCTCATCAATAATCCTCTCTCCTTGAGAAAAAAAGTCTCCAGGACAGTCACTGGCAGACCAGTAGTATCCTGCAGTCCCTTGTTCAATTGTGAAGGAAAGATGAAATATTCAGAATTCCACTCAACTCACAAGGGAAATAATCCTTGACAGGCCTACAGTGATCTTTGGAGACTGAATTGATACTTTCCAATCAGCAGAGCACGGTCAAGACAGGAGTGAATGACAGTATGTCCACTGGAGGTCACTGCTATACAGGTCAGTGGGCAATGGACAGCCGCTCACTGTATTCTGAGCTGTACACAGAACACCACCTTACTGCAGGGTACCAGTGATATTACCTGCCACTTTTGAAAATTGGCACTGAAGGTGATATATGTATGAAAGTGGGTTATTTACTTGCTGTCAATTACAATGGCTCTTACAGGGTACAATTGTAAACAAGTCTTGAGAAGTTGACAGGTCGAATGTAGAAGTACCTCCAAAAGGACTGATCAATTACAACACTCAGAGCCTAAAACAACTTGTTTAGATGAGATTGCATCTAAGAAAAACAAAAATCCACAGAGAAATCACAAGCAGTAAAATGAGTGCTTCATGATGCCTCCAGCCAAATTGATGGTCCTGTTGAAGTGCACCCTCTAGAGTTGAAGTATTTCTTAGAAATGACTGATAATAGTGCTAGTAGCATAGAAAAATGTTAGTTCAGTCAGATGAAAGTTGAAATAAAGCCAAACTTTGGGGATGGAGATATCAAGAGCAGCTGTAATCACTGTGCACAATGCAATGTTTAATAAAATATTTCTATTTTAGACTAAACCTAGACTAGAAATTTTCTGACAGGGTATGACAGACATGTACTGTAAACAATTTTATCCAAAGAATGAATACAAAAGGATGATCAAATTTGATGGAAAATAACAAAAACCTTCATTCACTACATCAGCCAACTTTGTCAAGGAACATCAAAATGGCCGTAACGAAATCAAAACACTGGCAAAGGGCAGTTCAAAGTAAAAAAAAATTGCCCAACTAAACATCATTACTAGACTTATTACCTTAGGTAGATAGGTACGCATGGCTGTTGACAGGCCTTCATCAATATGTCCCCACATTGATGAGAGTCTTCCTGAAGTCTTCTTGGGTGATAAAGCAAGGTCGCAGTAACTCCTTAAACTCTTCAAGGGTTAGTATGGAGGTACCCTTGGGACCTAACCTCAGCTCCTAGATTCAAGATAAGAAGCAGGGTTTAATATCCTGACTTAAGGTTTCTGCTGCTGCCAAGAGAACTGTTCTTTATGACTGTATCCATAATTCAGCTGACACAAATCCCCCCAAGAGTGCTAGAATCATAACTACCTTTCCCAGGTAGAGATTCCGTACATACGGCCTTCCGTCCCTGTCTTGGTACATCTCTACAATGAAATCTGAACACAGCCCTGGCCATGTGTCGTCAAAGGAACCCACAGCCATCAGGAGTGGCATCAACGTTGTGTCATGACAGGAATGAAGATGGAACTTGTATGGACTGTTGAAGACAGAGAAAAGAAATGCGATACAGGATGTGGATTGAAACACTCAGCGATTCTAAAAGTGAACTCAGTCATAGCATTCTATTGGTACCCTGTAAGTTACAATACTTTTGACTTTTGTTGTACTCAAGATGATAGCTTGTACTCAAGAACTGCATAAATAACAATCTATCAACAGTTGGCATGAAGACTCTATAGCTGCTCTGTCTACACCCGCCACCATATTGAATGTAAAAGTTTTACTTGGAAAGCTTTATTTGGTCAAAACCCAAGAAATGAAACTCAAATCAACAGTAACAGGCACACGGTCCGCATAAGAAATACAATACATGACACTGCATTTAATCCTAACCCCCTAGGGTGTATGTAAAATCTTATTGAAATAGGAGGATTTGGGACTGTTAGGGGTACCTATGATAGCTACTGGATTAACTTTGAACTATAAACAGAGGGGGATATTACAACAGTGCAAATGATATAAACTGTGACAACCATCAACACACCTTTCCCCAGTGATAGCTCTGTGTACGTTGTCTACTATCAGGCTAAGTAGTGGACCAACAGAATAGGGTAGATTGTCCCTGGATTGGTCAGCTCCAGCGATACAATGCTTCATGATATCGACAGCTGCTTTCTCTACAATACCAGCGATGGGTTCTAAAACAGGAGACAAAGGAAAATCGTGTGCCTGCAGAAAGAAAAAAGAGAGAGTTGAGAGAATTGAATTAAGAGGAAGCAAACTAGAATGAATAAAAAAGGTCTAAAATGTTTGAAGAATTTGTGATTTGATTTTTAGAATATTTAAGATTGGAGGGGATTTGTGAGTAAAATAGAATATGACACAAAATTAAGAACAAAAAGCAACAAAACAACACAAACAAACAACTTGGTAAGTCAGCACTGAAAGCAACATGGGTTCCAGAGAGAACTAATTTAACCAAGGACATCCCAGTAATGAAAGTTACCAACAAGTTTCCTTACCTGTCTTGCACTGATCCCGTCCCGGACAGACACCAGATCTAAATGAATCTTATCTGGGTCTTGATCTAGAAGTTCTTGGACCTGAAGACGGATGGGACGGATTCCTGGAACCACATCGGTATTCTTGGTAGTGCTGAAGTAGGAATCCATTAAAGGTTTGCAGTGGACATAGTTTGGGTACAGGATTTCTGTTGATTCATGATCCACGTGAACTCTTGGTAATCCTATTAGTGAACAAAATCAAAGTGAACAAACATAAACTCAGCTCCAA